GCTCTCAGAGCAGCTCAGCTTCTTGCTACCCTTTTTCTCTAGCGTAAAGGTAAGAGACAATTTAGCCCTAAATAATGATGATTCCATTACATAAGAACATAAGAATGGCCATACTGGGTCAGACCAAAGGTCCATCTAGCCCAGTATCCTGTCTACCAACAGTGGCCAGCACCAGGTGCCCAAGAGAGGGTGGACCGAAGACAATGATCAAGCGATTTGTCTCCTGCCATCCCTCTCCAGCCTCTGACATTCAGCCGGGCTTGAAGTTAAGCAAAATGAGTTACAAGTTATAACCCCAAAACACACATATCAAGTAAAATTAATTGAATGCACAATTTCTAGATGATTGAGCAAAATTTTAAAAAGCCTCTATGTCACTTTAGACTAAGCCTCATTTATTTTCAAAGGACACTTTTGAAAACTTCCTGTTATTTGATTATCTGTAGTTACTTATTAGTTTATATACTCTGCTGAAATAATGTCCAAGTAGTAGCCAAGTAATAGGTTCTGAGCTCACTACAGTAAAACTCCAATAGTCCGGCATTCAGTAGTTCGGCACTCCTGATAGTCCGGCATCAAAATGGCAAGAGCCTAGTGACTGAGCTTCAGCAAAAAATGAGTCACAAGGTAACAGCAGCAGCAGCGAACTGAGCAAAAAGGGTAAAAAAGGGTTAAAAGAACTAAAACATTACAGTATATTGTATACAGTATGTACAATAAAAAGGGTTAAGAACACTTTATATACGGTATATACTGTATACAGTATATACATAACCAGCTTATAGTACCTCCTGATACTCCGGCATATCTGATAATCTGGCACCACCTAGGTCCCATAGGTTCCGGATTATCGGAAGTCTACTGTATATTATATTCATGAATAGGCACTAGATCACTGGTCTCCAACCTTTTTATGTCCAAATGCAGGTGTTTTTGTTTAAATTTAGGGCAGTCCAGGATATGCACTGCCCCTTTTCCCAAGGCTTTGCTATACTCATTCCCACCCCCTGCCTTCCCATTGCTCGCTGTCCCCCACTCTCATACACTTTCAGTGCACTGAGGCAGGAGGTTGGGGTTCAGGAAGGGGTGCAGGCTCTGGGCTGGAGCTGAGGAGTTTGCAGTGTAGGAGGGGGCTCCAGGCTGGGGCAGAGGGAAGGATGTGGGGTGTTGGCTGTGAGAGGGAGGTCAGGGCTGGAGCAGATTTGGGGTGCAGGAGGGGGTTGGGGTGCAGGAGGTTCTGGTTCTGAGTGGATGTTTGGGATGCAATCTTGGGCCAGGTGACAAACACTGTCGGTGGCTCCCGGTTAGTGGTGCAGAGAGACTAAAGCAGACTTCCTGCCTGTCCGCTCTTCTGTGGCTCTGAGGATGGGAGGACAGGGGGGCACATGGCTCCACATATTGCCACTCTGACAACATCACCCCCTTAGTTCCTATTGGCCACAGTTACCCAATCCCATGACCAATGGGAGATGTGAGCATGCACGTGCAGTGCTAAGATCTCTGATGCCATGTAACAGGGTTGCAGCATCACGCTCGCTGCTTCTGAGAGCAATGTGGGGCTGGAGCAGCCTCAATGCCCTGACAGAGATCAAAATAGATAGACCAGTTGCTCGTGACCACTGTGCTAGATGAAAAAGGATGTCATAAATTAAGTTTATAAGTCTCTATATCAGTTGTCGCTAGATAAACTGGCTTGGTATTTCAGAGGCTGAGCTCCTGTTCTTGTTGCAACAGCTTTTAAAGAAAATGAAAGTAGTTTCTTAAAGTTCATGATAATCATAGAATCATCAAATACTAGGACTGGAAGGGACCTCGAGAGGTCATCGAGTCCAGTCCCCTGCCCTCATGGCAGGACCAAATACTGTCTAGACCATCCCTGATAGACATTTATCTAACCTAATCTTAAATATCTCCACAGATGGGGATTCCACAACCTCCCTGGGCAATTTATTCCAGTGTTTGACTACCCTGACAGTTAGGAACTTTTTCCTAATGTCCAACCTAAACCTCCCTTGCTGCAGTTTAAGCTCATTGCTTCTTATTCTATCCCCAGAGGCCAAGATGAACAAGTTTTCTCCCTCCTCCTTATGACACCCTTTTAGAGATCTGAAAACTGCTAGCGTGTCCCCTCTCAGTCTTCTCTTTTATAAACTAAACAAACCCAATTCCTTCAGCCTTCCTTCGTAGGTCATGTTCTCTAGACCTTTAATCATTCTTGTTGCTCTTCTCTGGATCCTCTCCAATTTTTCCACATCTTTCTTGAAATGCGGTGCCCAGAACTGGACACGATACTCCGACTGAGGCCTAACCAGCGCAGAGTACAGCGGAAGAATGACTTCTCGTGTCTTGCTCACAATACACCTGTTAATGCATCCCAGAATCATGTTTGCTTTCTTTGCAACAGCATCACACTGCTGACTCATATTCAGCTTGTGGTCCACTATGACTCCTAGATCTCTTTCTGGCATACTCCTTCCCAGACAGTCACTTCCCATTCTATATGTATGAAACTGATTGTTCCTTCCTAAGTGGAGCACTTCGCATTTCTCTTTATTAAACTTCATCCTGTTTACCTCAGGCCATTTCTCCAATTTGTCCAGGTCATTTTGAATTATGACCCTATCCTCCAGATTAGTCGCAACCCCTCCCAGCTTGGTATCATCTGCAAACTTAATAAGCTTACTTTCTATGCCAATATCTAAATCGTTGATGAATATATTGAACAGAGCCGGTCCCAAAGCAGACCCCTGCGGAACCCCACTTTTATGCACCCACCTTATAGTAGCCCCATCTAAGTTGTATTTGCCTACTTTATTGATAAGACTATCATGCGAGACTGTATCAAACGCCTTACTAAAGTCTAAGTATGCCACATCCACCATTTCACCTTTATCCACAAGACTCGTTAGCCGATTAAAGAAAGTTATCATATTGGTTTGACATGATTTGTTCTTTACAAATCCATTCTGGCTGTTCCCTATCACCTTTTTATCTTCCAAGTGTTTGCAGATGATTTCCTTAATTAGTTGCTCCATCTTTCCTGGCACAAAAGTTAAACTGAGTGGTCTGTAGTTTCCTGGGTAGTTTTTATTTCCCTTTTTATGTATGGGCGCTATATTTGCCCTTTTCCAGTCCTCTGGAATCTCTCCTGTCTCCCATGATTTTCCAAAGATGATAGCTAGAGGCTCAGATACCTCCTCTATCAGCTCCTTGAGTATTCTAGGATGCATTTCATCAGGCCCTGGTGACTTGCCTTTAACCTGCAAAAGACAGACACTTACATCTGAACAGAATCCTATTAACTGCCCTGGGAATTCAGGTTTGTATAATTGCCTATGCACACCCTTTTGTAGGACTGAGGCCATAATTCATTCAAAAGAATCTTCATGAGTACTGTCATTGCTAACAATGTACAGTTTCTCTTTTTTGAAAGTGCACAGAAAATTCCAATGTTGTTTTCAGTGCTGTTGTAGCCTTGTTGGTCTCAGAGTATTAGAGATACAAGGTAAATATCATTTATTTGACTAACTTGTTTTGGTGAAAGATACAAGCTTTTAAGCTATATATGTCTTTAGGTTTTCTGAGAAGAAGTAGTTTTGAGAAGTCCTGAAGGAAAGCTCTGTGTAGATTACAAGTTTAACTCTTTCAACAACAGAATCTAGTCCAATAATTCATATTACCTCTCCTTTATGGTCTCTCAAAGGGGATTCCAAGGCATTCCTAGCAGTTACTTAGCTAATTTTACTGACTTTATAATAATGAAAAAAATTCTTAATCTTTTTAGGAAAAACTGTCAGAAGAGGACAGAAAATGCAAAGAAAAAAGGGAAAATATTCATATGGCTGTAGATGATTATTCAAAAAGTGAAAGTAGCGGTACTGAAGAGGAAAAAGAAAAGACAAAATTGCTATTAGAACGACTGAAAGCTCTGGAGGTAAGAAATAAAATAACTACACTTCTTATAGTGTGAATCAGTGTGATATAAATCCTGTCTTTCTCCATTCACTTAGACTCAAGTAACAGTATTTTTTATCATGATTCATTTATCCAGGATGGGCAGAAAGTTCCATTTTGAAACTACTCTTTCTAATGTCAAGGATCATATATCCTTAAAAAGTACTTCATAAATAATTTTAATTCAGTTCAAGCTATAGACTCAGTGAAACTCAATGACACTAAAATTTTTGTTATTCTGATTTTGTCTCTAGTGTTAATTTTGTAACTTCTGTGTAACATACGTGATTTAATAGCCATCATTAAAACAGCATAACTTCACCCTGATGTTTACTGCTGAACTTGTTGCGTTTGGAATACTTATTGTAGAAAATCTGACCATTCTTAATAGATCCCCAAGGAGAATGCACTTGAATAACTGCACTAAGTTCGGTGTGCATGGAATTAAATATGACACAATAACCTCAAGGTTTGGAATTAAAGAATGGACCTAACATAGAATGAAATTCTTATTCAGCACTTAGTTCACTGTAGTCTATTCAGGTTCATATACAGTGGTTCAGCATTACAGTACATGAATGCTCAACAGGAGATTTGCCTGAGTAGAGACTGAGAAAAAGAAGGGAAAAGATTCAGTCATTGGAGCTATAGATTTCTGGTTTAAGCAAACAGAAAAATTCTATCTGTTTGTGTTTCATAATCCACATAACAGACTTACTTGATTTGTTTGATTAAAACATACTCGCTTGATTTGTTTGATTTGATTAAAAATCAAGTTCAGTGTTAGTATCCTGGAGGATCTGTAAAACAAAAATAAAACATAAGCAATGGTAGGTGTGTTCAGATCTGTGACAGGATGCATCAGCCGCACACGGGCTGAAAGAGTTAACCTGGCCCAGTTGGCTGCGAGGGTCCCACCCCCACAGTCCTGCTGGGCACACTCCAGCTGGAGACTGGCCATAAAAACCTATGGAGTTGCTCAGTTAGGGCTGATTGCCTCAGGAGAAGGAGGTACTGTAGGAGCTCCTGGTGAGGAAGCACAACCAGACCAAACAGCAGCAGCCCAGCCAAGAGGGACTGCAGTAGGAGCCTCCAGACCCGAGTGTAAAGATGGAGAGGACTTCTTCTAAGAACTGGGTAGGAAGTAGGCCAGGGTGGAGAATTGCTCCCCAAGAGTTCCACATGTTGTGATGGGGTTCCCTGATGAATTACCAGTGGACCATACCACTCCTAACAGGGCTGTGTGCTGGGACCTGGTGGAGAAGGAGGGCCCAGGTTCCCCAACCCCGCCTCAGATACCCTCACATGGCGGAGATTGATTTATTACAGTGGTCACCAAACAGTTGATCGCGATTGACTGGTCGATTACTGAGGCACTACCAGTCAATCTCAATGCAGTATTCCCAGCTCCCTCTTGGTCCCCTCCACCCACAGCAAGTAGCCCGCCCTGGTGCTATAGTTTCCCGCCCCTCGCAAAATAGGAGCCAAAGCCGGCTTCCTGTGGCAGGGAATGAGGGAAAAGTCCTATGGCTCCGCACCAGATTCAGCTTCTCAGGAAGCTGCTTCTCCCCTCCCTACAGCAATTCCCGCACTTTCTTGTCTTGCCTTCCTTCCCCTGAGCACCAGGGAGGGAGGGTCGGGAGGTAGGGGTTTAAGATGGCAACGGAGGATCAGGAGTGGCTGGATTTCTTAAAGGAGCCGCATGTGTGCTTCTTTCAGCACTGCCTGCAGATCCTTCCAAGAGATACTCATCTTTTGGAGACTCCCAGGTATTGTCTGAGCTTCCCCACTCTCTCTCCCCTGGCCTGACACCCATCAGCACCCTGCTCCTCTCCCCTGGCCTGACACCCATCAGCACCCTCTTCTTGCCCCCTCCCTTCTGAACAAAAAGAGGAATGTTTTGATGCTGTGGCTACTGGGCATAAGTTGCCCTGAGCATTAAGTTGCAGTATAAAGACTTGGCGGCTGATAGGACACCCTATCTAGAATGAGAGTCTGAGGGGCTGCAGCAGACTGTCAAAACATAGTCCTCACTTAAAATTATACAAGGTCTCTATAGTTATGTCTGTAAATATATTTTCTTATTTAAGACCTAGACCAAAATATTACTAAAATAAAAATGCTAAATGTTAATTCTCGTTAATCCTACACAGAACTATTGCTTCATTATGCTGTATGTATTTTTCTTAGGTTTATACAACTTGGATAATGGTTTTTGTTTATTTCAGTCTTAATTTTATCATTTGTGTTGAGTGAGTTGAGGTTTCTTGAAATTTTCCAAATTTGCATTCTCAGAGCTCCCTTAGTCTTGTTTTCAGTCAATCTTCATGACCTTTGTGTCCTTTCAACTGATAAAAACCATTCAGTATTTATCAATTATTGCAACCTGCCTGGAAGGAAAAAAACATAACATTATGGATAGACAGAATTTGTGTCTGAGAGGTCAGTTAATAGGCTTCTTCACTGATGTCAGCTTTGTGCAGTAGCTTGTAAAAAACAAACACACACATAGGTATTAGCAAATACCAATACTTCAAGAATTAATCTACATAAATAGTCTAATGAGCAGTCAGAGAAGAAAAATGAACTGAAGAGCCAACATTAATTGTGCCCAAAGATAATTAAAACAAAGTGTTGTTAATTGTGTGTTGGTTTAGTGTTATATATCCTTGCCCTTGTTATTTCTTGGAGGGTATAAATTTTTATGTCAAAGGCTGAATGCTCTTTGGTTTATTAATCGAGGGACATACATTTTCTCAGTTACTTGCAATTAGCTGTTCTCAGCCTTTAGTATTCTGAGAGTAATTAATGTTAGTATTTCATTAATACATTGAAAAAAACAGAAAATGGATATTTAACATTATATCCACAGTAGAGCAATTAGCAAGTTCCTTCATCTTGAGTATTCAAATTATTACAATTATCAAACATGATTCATGAAATTAGCAAGGCTAATAAAGCACATAGTAAAGTTAGTTCATCCATCTGTGCAGTGTTACACATTAAGATTATGCCTATAAGCAAAGCTCATGAATATTACTTTCCCTCTGTGGATAGATTTAGAAAAACTGGAACTGGAAAATTTTCAGCAAAAATCCAATTTTGGCTGAGTGTTTGCAGTTTTGGCCAAAACGTATAAGGTAAAAATTCAAAATTTCTGCAGAAAGCAGGCAGTTTTAATTGAAAAAAAGTTCCTTTGTTGGAAACGCAATTTTTCACTGGGACAGTTTTGTTGGAAATGTTTTGTCCAGCCTTTGATCAATGGACCACTATTTGGAGGAGCTGATTCCTTTTTAAAAAGGTATTTGTTGCTCCAGTGCATATTTGTACCCATAGCATTTTTTGGGGGGGAAAAATGTATTACAAGAAAATATTTTCATTATATATTTATCTGTACAAGCAGTAGATTGCTGGCATTAGCGTACATTAATATCAGAAGAAGGCACCAAGAAATAATTGACATGGTATATTATGCAATGAACCCTAGCACAATGTGACATGTCCCATTAGTCAGGGATTTAAAAAACAGAGTAAACCCCTGTGTGTAAACACTGCGATGAGTAGTTAAGTACACCTTTTATATGCTGTAGAGTATTTTTATTTACTAACTATCAAAACACTTAAATTTTCTCAGGTGTGTGTGTGTGTGTGTGTGTGTGTGTGTGTGTGTGTGTGTGTGTGTGTGTGTGTGTGTTTCACTTTGGTTAAATTAATCACATATATCATTTATGTAAGTATAATTTGGGTGGTATGGAAGTAAGTAATATCATTTCCTGCTTTCTTTGTGAGCATGATACAAAGAAAACTACTTGTTACCTTTAGTGGAAAATTAGGTCTAAGGCCTCAATTCGGGAAAATACTTGTTTAAGTGCTTAAGTTTCATTGGCTTTACTCTAGGCCTTTCCTGAATAGAGGTGCATCCCCAAAATAAGGAATGTAAAGACCCTCAACACTGATCTCAAATAAACTGGTATTTTAAAAGTTTAAATAGCATTATAGATTAATAATGAGATAGAGATACTAAGTATAGGTAGACCAAGCAGCAAAATAAGAGTAGCTAATTTTGGACATAGTGTGAGATGCGAATTTTCAAAATGCATGTCGTCTTATCAAACAAAAGCAAAAATAAAGTAATCTGATTATAAATAATTTTATATCACAGATTTGTAATGTGTTTTCAACATGAGAATGTAACATAAGAACAGCCATACGAGGTCAGACCAAAGGTCCATGTAGCCCAGTATCCTTTCTGCCAACAGTGGCCTATATTAATGCCTCAGAGGGAGGGATCACAACAGGTAATCCTCATGTGATTCCTCCCCTGTCACCCACCTCCAGCGAAACAGAGGTAGAGATACCATTTTTACCTATCCTGGCTAAAAGCCATGGATGGACCTAACCTCCATGAATCCATCTAGCTCTTTTTTGAACTCTGTTAAAGTTCTAGCCTTCACTGCATCCCCTGGCAAGGAGTTCCACAGGTTGACTGTGCGCTGAGTGAAGAAAAACTTGTGTGTGTTTGTTTTAAGCTTGCTGCCTATTAATTTCATTTGGTGACCCCCTAGGTCTTCTATTGTGGGAATAAGTAAATAACTTTTCCTTATTCACTTTTTCCATGCTAGTCATTATTTTATAGACCTCTATCATATCCCCCCTTAGTCTTGTCTTTTCTAAGTTGAAAAGTCCAAGTCTTTTTAATCTCTCTTCATATGGGATCCCTTCCAAACCACTAATCATTTTTGTTGCCCTTTTCTGAACCTTTTCCAATGCCATGCTTGTTTATCTTCCTAGCTCTGTTAATTCCTTTGGAAGTTACCCTAGTTAGAACACCTCCTCATAAAAATCCCACTCAATATGTTTAGCTCCATGACAAAATGTTATTTCAAAAGTTGGAAGAAATATAGTGTGTATGATTTAACAGTATTTGCAATATATAAATATTTTCACAACTATGCTGTTTGCATATGTGTATACATGCAT